CTATTGGTTCATTCTTCCATCTTTTAATTAAACAATCTGCTCCTTTATATTTGAGAACTCTCACTTGGTTTGCCCCAATCTCGCATATGTTGGTCTTTTCAATCAATTGATTTGCTCCACGTATCTAAAAATCTTTCCGTTTGATTTTGTCCCAATCTCATAAATGTTGCACCTAAAAAGACAAAAGATTATCATTGGTTAGTGCATTATTTATTATTTAGAAACAATGTTGTCTCATGTAAGACCAAAAAATGATCTTTTGATCTCAAGAGAGATGAAATATGAGTTTTCAAAGGAATTGATTTTAAGGAAAACTCTAAACAATTACCCTCAATGAGGAAATATTTGTTTCAAGAGAAACACTTTTAAATGAGATAAGATTTATTTTAAGGAAAACAATATTAAGTGAGATAAAATCTATTTTTAGAAAAACAATCTCAAGTAAGATAAAAAATTTAATAAAAATAATCTCGATTGAGAAAAAATATGTTTTTAAGAAGAAAAAAACAGTCTCAAGTGAGATAAAATTTGTTTTAAGGAAAACAATATCAAGTGAGACAAAATATGTTTTAACGAAAAAAATCTCAAGTGAGATAAAATTTGTTTTAAGAAAAACAATCTCAAGTGAGATAAAACCTTAAGTGAAATGATTTTGAGTTTCAAGGGAAACTATCTCAAGTGAGATGAACTTGAACCAACTCCTTATGTGAAGGAATCGAGTGAGGTAGTGATGCTTATACAACTCCTTATATGATGGAATCGAGCAAAAAGAAAGGTGTTTATCCAACACCTTATGTGATGGATGAGATGAGGTTGAACAAGTTCTTCTCGTTAGTAAGTTCTTCTCATTAGGAACTTATTCTCCCTTATCGGACCAGTTATTCTCATTAGGAACCCTTCCATTGGGAATTTTTGGTCTATCTTCACTTTGAAGAATTTTAAACCTACAAAAAGATTATTATGTATCATTTATATGTATTTAAAGTACCCGAAGGTAGTGACTTAAAGATCCTTAATTCTTTGTTGGGATTCACTCTTTCCACTAGTGAAATTATGGACTGATTCTTTGCTGAGATCATTTTCTTATGAAATTCTTGTTTTCTTCTTGAATTCTCATTTAAGAAATCTTTGAAAATCAATTTTTCTTCTTTAAAAATTCATTTGAAAACATCATATCATTTGGGTAACATGCCACATATCAAAAGTAATGATTATTTTTTGGATTGGACCATTCTGAATGTAATTCACTCCATTTGAGGCTTGAATTTTAATTTTCTCTTCTTTCATAGGAAGATCTGTAAAAATTATGCATCTATGTATGAAAATATGAATGTAACTAAGTGTAACTAAATGTAATACATGATTTTCTCGTATGCAAAAATGTTGATCATTAATTTTCTTCTGACTTTAAAGTGAAGAGATCAGTTTTCTTCCATTTGACCATTCTAGAATAGAGCTTGCCCCAATATTAGTGGTAACTTGTCAGTTCAAGCTTGCATCTTCTAGAGAACAATTTGATCTTCTTGTAGTCACGTCATCTTTATCTCTTGTCTTTTGGTTTCTTCACTAAAGTTTGGAAGAACTGTTTTCTCTTTTGAGTCTTTATTACGATCAAGCATATGGTTTTGACACTCTTTATATCCCTATCTCAATTACTCTATCAGAATTGTTTCCTTAAGAACCTTTTGTCATATGAAACATTAATGGTTTACTTTTACAAAGTAAGCTCTTATTGTCTTCATATTCTCCCATATCATCTCAAGCAACGAAACTCATCTTGAATATCTTCTTGATATGATTCTTGTTATCTCAACATGATTTGTACTTTTGGGAATGACCCAATGTGGGTATCTTTCATGGCTCATTCTTAGTTCCAAAAATTGACTTTGAATGGTTTCATCTTCGTGCCATTTATTAGCAATTCATATATTTTAACTTGGGTCAACAAAACTGTTGCCAAATATTTTTCTTCTTCCTTATTCTGATATAATAGTTAGAGGGCTTATTTCTGTGAGGTCTCAAAACTAAATGGACACTTAAGAAGTGATCAATTATTCTAGCAGAAATGCCTTGGATTTCGACTACGAGCTAAGATACTAAAAAATCTAAAAATATATATCATGCTCTGTTTTAGTAACTGGTCGTCTGCTTCTTAATTGATTATTGATGTTGATGACATCATAAAGAAGTGTGAGAAGTTTAATATTGAGTCTTCTAATCTTTCAGACTCCATTGCTGGAAAACCAAAGAACATCTTCATTGTTATTGTATCGCTTATAGTCTTATTTCCTTATTTGAGGTAGATAAAGCCTAACCAACTTCAAGAACCTCTTTCATTCCTGAGAGATTGTCCTGTTTTAAAGTATTTTTTGCCTTCATATTTTTTAGAATTCACAAGAATGAAAGAATTTTATAAAACAAAATGACACCCCTTACTTTAAGCTCATAATTGAAGTAAATCATAAAACGTGAGTTCATTGAATATCAAAAGAATCAACTACTCTTTAAATTTTCAAAGTTATAACCCTTTGACAAGTGTTAGGATTGATGGGTTAGTTTTAGGTTGGCTTCCTATTTTCTAAGGTTTCAGCCATCAATGTATCATTCCTTAGTCCTTGGGAGCATTGTGTATGCCCCTCTCTTTCTTGGCTTGGTATTTTAATCGGATACGAACGAAATATCGCAACTAGCTTATTCAATTGCTAAAATTTTTAAAACACTACTATTTCAGTTCTCTAAAATCTTCCATATGTTCAAACTTCATAAACTCTTTTAGCAAAGGTAGCGTAGAAATATCGATCTAAAAATAAGATTCCTAAGTGCTTGTGTGAAGTCGAATATAACAAGTGTTTCTCAAATCCCTTAGTCCTTTTTCACCGATACCTTTATTGATTCAAACATTAGGCATTATTGCCTTTATTCCTTGAAAATTAACAACTTTAAATTTGGTTGCCTTTATTTGGAATAGCTAAAGGATTCATCTCATCAAAAAGTCTTTGACTTGACTATCACAATGGAGCAAACACCGAATTACCAATTATCTTATCAGTATCATGGTTTGAATGTAACCTATTCATAAAGTAAAGGCTCTCAAGTTACCTCTATAACCAATTTCTTTAGCGGAATAGCTCAACTTTATTACATTTACCTTATGAAAACACTTTATTAACTTTATATGTATATGGATTCAATTTCTTAAGCTCATCGATAAGAACTTGTTATAGTCTAAGTGTTGTTGAGAGTCACAAATTGTATCCTTAGAGTTCAATTCATAAACAACTGACCTAAACTAAAATTTTCTACTTCACTATTCCAATTGTGAAGATTATGATCATAATTGAATGTCTTTAACATAAGTGCGATTAAATTGGTTTTGAAACTTCATACACAAGAGATACCTAATTTTGTCTGCTCCTATACATACCTGAATGTCAAGCCTTTTGGTCATCTTTTCGTGAGAAAAGAATGATATCTTGGTCCCTTCAAGAGAAGGGTATAATGTTTGAGTGTATCCTCTAGAATAGAAACAAGGGTTATTGTTTTACAAGGGTTCAATCTTGTCACTTTGTCAAATATTTATAACCTCGGTTATTTAAAGAGCTTTTAATTCAATTGATATATAGAGAATTTCAAGATTAAAATTTGCTTATTATTCATAACCTTATAATGTATTTTATTTAATGTGTTTAGAAGTCAAGCAACTTACATTTTTTTAAAGAAAAAGAAAGAGAGAAAAACAAATTCAAACAAGACAATAAACGTTGGGGATCATTAATGAAGTTATTGGAGCCGTTTAAGTGTGAAAACAATTAATATTTTTGCTTGGAGCGTGGGGGGAATCGGTTCCCCCTCATAGGGAATCGGTTCCCTAAGTGTAAAATTCAAATATTTGGACCGTTAAATAGGGGGGAATCGGTTCCCTCCGAGCATTTTGTTTTTCTCGGAGTCAAACCATTCAGAGGGGAATCGGTACCCCCTTGGTGGGGAATCGGTTCCATCTGAGCAATCTGGAATTTTTGGCTTTGAAATGGTTCGAAATATTTTGTAAAATTGTTTTGAAATTATTTTAAGATTAAAACTTAATTTTACACTTGAGTAAGGATTAAAAATGACATTTGAAAGATTTGGATTAATATTTTGATATTCAAATAATTATATCGAATATACTTAGAAAATCTTTTTGGAAAATCTTAAAATTCATTTAACTTAATTTGTTATATCGAAATATCAAAATGTTTTCAACAATCTCCCCCTTTTTGATATAACAAAACATTTTAGTAATTTTATGATTTTATTTTGAAATCAAGGGTCCGTTTGTTTCACTGAAAACGTTTTCCGGAAAATGAAATCTAGAAAATGTTTTACAGAAATGTAAATTATTTTCCAGAAAACATTTTCCAGTGTTTGGATGGTACATTGTAAAATGTTTTATACTGTTTGGTTATTTTTTCTGAAAACAGTTGTCAGAATCTGTTTTAAGAAAGAAGCATACATATTTGATATGTTTTATTCTTTATTATTTTTAAAGGTTAATTTTTTAATATATAATTATATTTTATAAAAATTTGTATTTTAGATAATATTAATAATTTATGTTGATTGTGTTATAAATACACTATTTTAGGTTTATTTTATATAATATTAATAATTGATTAAAAATATATTATAAAAGTTTATAAATCCTAAGAAGGCTTAATTAATAGTACATCAAATTAAAACAATAATAGTACATAACATTGTAATAATAATAATAGTGTCAAAATATATAATTAAAGGGTTTATGACATTAAAATAACAATAATATCCAACCGTAATAATACCAAGTCTAATTCATGGTATTTAAAATGAACTTATAGCTGTGATTGTGAATACTATAGGTATAATAGCGTTATTTTACAGTGAAAATAATTTGCCAATTGGGAAAAGGAGAACTTGCAAATCTAACATAGTTTTCATTTTATTGGCAATAAAAATGAACCAAAACCCTGAACAACCTTCAGTTTTGGTATAGAATTGACTTTGATCTGAGCAGGTACCCTTTCTCGAACTCACTTGGTATGGATACAAAGGACCTTCTCATAGATTAGTATCATTTATGTTGGAAGCTTCTATGTTCCATTTCATGTAACAACTGATGCATGTATACAACAAAATAAAATAATATCATACATTTTTCTAGAATAGAAATAAAGGGCATAACTCAAAAGGTAGAAAAAGACTACCTTAGCATCTTCATAAGTTGACATGTAACCAATAGATACTCCAACCACTCCAGTTGGTTTTCCATTTATTACATCATTGTCATCCCAGCAAACATGCCCAACCTGAACTCAAAGCAAAGCAAAGCAAAAGTAAGACAATCATGTAGTAGGAATAGGTAGGGTAGAATGAAACAAGAATAATAAATGGTTGCTATTGCAAAATAAACTCTAAAAGGGGAGGAAAATATCCTTCATACAGTCATGTCCTAAAGAAAACTCACTCGTTTTCCTGTTCGCTCTAACTGTCCACTAACTTCTCCAGTTCTATAAAATGAGGTACCAGCGGGAAGCTTAACAAGAAGCAAGTCCACCAGATCAGTTAACAAATAAAGTGAACAAGAGAAGATACTTAACTCTAAAAGAAAAATACGCTATCAAAGTGAAAACAGAATATGTTGAATAATAAATGCACAATGGTTTGCAGAGGCAAAATATTCTAAAATGAAAAGCAGTATTAGACCTCAAGTTTGACAATCTACTATCCTAGACGACACTCAAAGGAAGGGATATACAAAGGAGCCTTATTGCTCAAAATTGGTACATCCCATTTTTCATTTTCGACAATCCAATAATTTCGCAACAAAAAGTTAAAACCAGAAGCAAGACTGAATATGATCGAGAGAATCAAATAATCAAATAAACTGAGGCATACTATGAAATTGGGGAAATCATTTCAATCCATTCAGATCCATAACCTAATCCCCAATCCCTAATTCAGTTATTAACTTATCAATAATTCAACAACATACCTATGAACATTGAACAAGATTAAGCATATTTGGAGCTATAAATCTCCGAGAAACCACAACAAATCTAGGATTTTGAAAAATGGGGAATCGATCAAAACAATCCCTAACCTGAAATAAGCCCAAAAATCTGAACTGGGTCGGTTGAATCTCCCCACTTTGGACCCTGGAATCAAAGACCTGCTAACAAAGAAAGTAAACCCAGATTCAGGAACATGCAGATTCAGCATTTAAAACGATTCAAGAGAGGGAAAAGGGTGGTAATGAGTGAAGAAAATTACCTTCGGTGAACTTGATAAAGGGTGTTTCAAAAGAGGGGTAGGTGCAAGAGCTGCCATTGAAATTAGATGGATCTTAAAAAAAGCTAAAGAAAAATATAAGAGAATAATGGAGAGTGCTTTGGTGATGAAAAAGAAATGAAGGAATTAAAGGAAGAAACAGTGAAGTTTTGGTGTGGAGCAAGGGACGGGAGAAGCTGGAAAATGATTTGCTGATTTCCAAACGGTAAGTCATTTTACCGTGTTTTTCCTTAAGTTTTCCGTTGACCGGAAAACAACTTACATTGACCTTTTATTTTACGGGAACCAATAATAGGAAAAAGGGAAAAATTCCGTAAAATGTTTCTTCCCAACCAAACAGACCTCAAGTTTTAAGTTTGAAATTACTCCCTCTTAGTCTAACAATATTCCTCTTTAAAACGCTTTTAATATTTCTTTCCATTTTTGTTAAATTAAAAAGACTCGTAAAATATTTTAAACAAGGTTTTAAAATCATTTAGCCAATTGATTATATATATATATATATATATATATCTGAAGTTACTAAGATCACAATCAAGAGAAACATTAGCCATTAGTTTCATAATTAATATTCATAAACAATGTGACATGGCAAAATTGGTCATATAGCTAACATGATGTAAATGATGCAATAATGAATAAATTTAACCACACCAAATATATAGAAATATAAGTTCAAACCATCCATAAATCCAAAAAAAATCAAAGTCAATCAATCCACAAATTCAAACATTCCAAAATATTCAAAATGTTAAAACAATAAGCTTTAAGTTCAAAGTACTAAAGCATAAACATAATCAAGCATCCGTAGGAGGATCGGGAGGAGGAAAATGAGCTCGCATAGCGGCCATCTCATGTGAGAGTGCATCAATGCGTTCATTCATAGAAGCGTTGTTTGTGCGCATCTCCGGAGAATTTCCAATTGTTGAGGTCCCATTGTGGATAAATGAGATTCTATGGAAGTGAAGCGAGAATCCATGAAAGCATATCGAAAATCGAATGTCTCCATAAAGGATCGAAAGTATGGAGGCATTTGATCCTCTAGCTGTGCTTGTTCCTCTACTCGTTCTTGTTCCTCGTGCTGTTTTGGTTCATCGTCGGAGTCATCAACTTCATGCGGTTGCTCACCGGTACGATCCCAAAGACCAGATTCTTCATTGATCTTCCATCCCGATTTAGTTAAAGAGAAAAGATTGATTTGGTTTTTGAGGGGAAAGGAAGCATCAAGACCAACTCTAAGCCCAGCCTTCTTAAACATATTGCTAAGAATACAACCATAAACTAAAGAAGAACACAATTTCTTATTGGGAACAAAATTTACGGTTTCGACAAGTTCAGCAAAAATAATCTGTAGAAGGTTAATTTTGTGATTATTTTGGACACAATGAAGCCAAAATAGATCTAAGGCACAAAGAGTAGAGTAATGGCCCCCATATGGTTAAAACCACCAAGAGATCATTAGGTGAAGAAAACGATCATGAAGGTCTAGAACACTTACACTATCCCTTCGTTTATACTGAGATCCTACTGTAAGTTTTTCATTGTCTAACCCTTCATTATCTAATTCTAATGCTTTGGCAATGGATTCCGAGTCAAGATGAAAGAATCGTCCTAGAAGATAGGATTGGATCCCTATGGTTAAGGTTTTCTCTCGGTTTTTAATGCAAACAACATTAGAGTAGAAGATACGAACAAGTTGTTGGTAGACAGTGGGTTCAAGCTCAAAGAGTTTGTCAAATTTCAACTCATGAAGAGTAGGAAGATGACAAAAAATGATGTCTAACATGGCTTGAAGAGATGGGATACGTTCTTCCTGAATTTTGTAGGACTCAAAGTATTAAAAAAAATCATATTGTAGAGATTTTGTTTATGATCGAGTTCATTAAAACAAGAATTGAGAATGGTCATGTTTAGATCATCGGGATTAGGAATAGGAATTTGTGAGATAGGTGGAGGATTTGGAGGTGAGTTTGGAGGTTGGCTAGAACGACTAGAGGAGGCCCTAGAACGTTTATGAGACATGGTTTAAGATATTCAGAATAGAAAGATAACCTGCATTTTTAAAAACATATGTATGCAAAATAATCAATCCCAAAACTCAATTGAGTCCTCAATATTTCAAGGTTCTCTAAACCAATCCTAATGGGCAAAGTTTTTGAAAAACTTATTGAAAAACAAGGTTTTGAAAATCAATATATGTATAGTTTTCACAACAACAATGTAATTCAATCAAAACACAATAATTTGAAAAACAAATTTTTTTATTTCAAAAATTTCAAAGAATTTTGGAAAATTCTTGTGTTTTTGATGAAATTAGTTGTAAAATCTAGTTTCTAATCACTAAACAATCAATGCCCGATCTAAAGTTCAACCTAGAACTAATTAAAACTAGTTCTAAAATCAAAAATTGATGAAATAGAGGTTTTATAAAAATACCGTGAAGAAATTCGGATTTGAGTGAGATTAGATGAAGTTTGCACGTTTTTGATGATTCAAACAGGTTTAGGAGATGATATTTGAAGAGAATTCTGATTAAAAATGATGTTTTGATGAAATATAGAGATAGGGTGAGTGTAGAGAGGAGAAATGGCGTGAAGAGAATATTTAAGGGTTTGAGTTTTTTGGTGTTCTGGCTGTGTTAAAAACCAAAACCCCAAGGGGGTATCGATTCCCCTACAGGGGGAATCGGTTCCCCTTCAAAGGGGGAATTGGTTCCCTTTCAAGGGGGTATCGATTCCCTCTGCACTAAAATGCTAAAATTTGATTTTTAAATACTCAAAATGCTAAATTAATTTTCTCTAGTGGTATTGGTAACTCATATATTGAAAATTAATCATGTTCATTCAATCAAATTTATCATTAAAAATTATTTGAACATAAAGTTAATTTTCACCAAAAATCATAAACTCCCCCTAAATAAAAGCAATATATGTAAAAAAAATTACTATTATATGCATTTTTCATTTATTCTTAAAAGTGCTACAATTATTTTAAACACGAAGTGAAGATAGGTTGTTCAAACCGAATTCTCTCCTAAGTGTCCAAAATCTTTTCTTGTCTAAAGGATTTGTAAAGATATCCGCTAATTGATGCAAAGTATCAACAAATTCTAGAACTACATCTTCCTTAGTGAGATGGTCTCTAATGAAGTGATGTCTTATTTCAATGTGCTTAGTTCTAGAGTGTTAGATGGGATTTTTAGTGAGACAAATAGAACTACTATTGTCACACTTGATAGGAATAGTACCTACTTCAATTCCATAATCAAAATGTTGTTGTTTCATTCATAAAACTTGTGCACAATAACTACCGGCTGAAATGTATTCCGCTTCAGTGGTAGATAATGCAACACAATTTTGTTTCTTTGAAAACCAAGAAATCAACATATTTCCAAGGAATTGGCAAGTACCGGAGGTTCTTTTCCTATCTAATTTGCATCCTCCATAATCCGCATCAGAAAAGGCATGCAATCTAAAGCTAGAGTCTCTAGGATACCAAAGTCCTAAACTAGGAGTGTCCTTAAGGTATCTAAAGATTCTCTTAACAGCTAGTAAATGTGATTCCTTAGGGCATGATTGAAATCTAGCACATAAGCAAACACTAAACATAATGTTCGGTCTACTTGCAGTTAGATAAAGTAAAGATCCAATCATTGACCTATATAATTTAACATCTACACATTTACCTCCTTCATCTAAGTCAAGCTTTTTTGAAGAGCTCATTAGAGTGTCATGAGGCTTGCCATTTTCCAGTCCAAATTTCTTGAGCATATCTTTGATGTACTTAGCTTGATTGATGAAGATGCCATCTTTTCTTTGCTTGATTTGGAGTCCCAAGAAAAATGAGAGCTCCCCCATCATGCTCATTTCGAATTCGCTTTGCATGAGCTTAGAAAATTCTTGGCAAAGAACATCATTAGTAGAACCAAATATTATATCATCAACATAAATTTGAACTACTAATAAATCTTTACCTTTATGCTTTAAAAACAATGTAGTGTCAACCTTCCCTTTTGAAAAACCTTTTTCAATTAAAAAGTTTGACAATGTTTCTTACCAAGCTCTAGGAGCTTGTTTTAAATCATAAAGTGCTTTTGTCAATTTAAGAACATGATCCGGAAATTTTGAATCTTCAAAATATGGAGGTTGTTCCACATACACTTCTTCTTTTATAAAACCATTTAAAAATGCACTTTTAACATCCATTTGATATAATTTAAATTCATAAAAACATGCAAATGCTAATAACATTCTAATTGCTTTCATCCTAGCTACGGGAGCGTATGTTTCATCATAGTCTATTCCCTCTTCTTGAGTATACCCTTGAGCAACAAGTCTAGCCTTGTTTCTCACTATATTACCACTCTCATAAAGCTTATTCCTAAATACCCATCTAGTACCTACAGTAGATTTATTACTAGGCCTTTCAACTAGTGTCCATACTTTACTTCTCTCAAATTGATTTAATTCTTCTTGCATAGCCATAATCCAATGTTCATCATTTAATGCTTCTTTAATATTCTTAGGCTCTATGCATGAGATAAATGCAATATAATTACAAATATTTCTAAGAGAAAATTGAGTTGTTACCCCTTTGGATGGATCACCTATAATCTCACCATCCTTGACATAGTTGTATTCCCTTGGGTAAGAGACTTCCCTTTCTTCAATGGTTGGATTCTCGAGAGGATCATGAGTTTCCTCATTTTTCATTTCTTCCTTTGATGATGGTTCTCCAACGTCATGTCTAACTTCATTTGTATTTATAACACCTACATCATCATTCACAAAAGAATCCTTCCTCGGAATGAGTTTATCATAAAAAACAACATGTATAGACTCTTCTACAACCAAAGTTCTTTTATTAAATACTCGATAAGCTTTAGAATTTAAGGAATAACCCAGAAAAATTCCTCCATCACTTTTAGCAGCAAATTTGCTAAGATTGTCTTTACCGTTGTTTAAAACAAAACATTTACATCTAAAAGGATGAAAATAGCTAATGTTAGGCTTTTTATTTTTAAAAAGTTCATATGGAGTTTTCTTCAAAATAGGCCTAATCATTACTCGATTAATAACGTAACAAGCGGTATTTGTGGCTTCTGCCTAAAAATACTTTGGTAAATTATTTTCACAAAGCATGATTCTAGCCATTTCTTCTAAAGTTCGATTTTTCCTCTCAACAACTCCATTTTGTTGAGGGGTTCTAGGTGCTGAAAAATTATGACTAATACCATTAGAATTACAAAACTCAGTAAATCCAAGATTTTCAAATTCAGTTCCATGATCACTCCTAACACTAGTTATAGAGTAACCTTTTTCGTTTTGGATTACTTTTAAAAACGTGATGAATTTTTCTAATGCTTCATATTTAGTACTTAAAAATAGAACCCAAGTATATCTAGAATAGTCATCTACCAAGACAAATGCATATTGTTTTCCACCCAAGCTAGTAGTTCTAGATGACCCAAAAAGATCTAAGTGGATCAATTGTAATACTCTACTCGTTGACACATCATTAATGGATTTAAAAGAAACTCGCTTTTGTTTTCCATTAGCACAAGCATCACATATTTTATCATTATCAAATTTTAGTTTAGGCATCCCTCGAACCAATTCTCCTTGAACTAACCGTTGCAAAACACTCATACTAGCATGTCCTAGTCTCCTATGCCATAACCAACTATCATGTTCATCCTTAGCAACTAGGAATAAATTAGTCATTTCTACGGAGTCTAAATGCACCATGTATATGTTTCATATTCTATGACCAACAAGCATAATCCGATTAGATGCAATGTCAATAACTTTACAACCTTTAGTTTCAAATATGACATTGAATCCTTTATCACATAATTGACTAATACTCAAGAGATTATGCTTTAATCCATTCACATATAACACATTTTTAATTTGTATGGAAGAGGTATTACCTATTGTACCAATACCTTTAATGTGACCTTTTGAATCATCATCAAAAGTCACTTCTCCTCCATTTTTGGTGTTAAGCTCAATGAACCGGCTTTTGTCACCGGTCATGTGTCTCGAGCATCCAAAGGTACCATGAATTTGAATTTGTTTCCCGTGCCATGTAGCAATGCTCCTTTCCCTACAAACATAGATTAATTTTTTTTTTGGTACCCAATCTTTTGGGTCCATATTCATTAGTTTCCAAAATCATAGTCCCCTTAGGTATCCATTTGTGTAGGATATCTTTATCTTTAGTAGTAATGAGTTCTTTAGGAACCCACATACTTCTAACAATTTTTCCATTAGAGGTTCTTTGGGGACCTCTATGATTGTAGTTTTAAAATCTTTTCTAACAAAGTTGGATTTTGAATTTTCTTCTTTTTCAAAATGTTTTGTTCCAACTTTATCAAAAAGAAGTTTTAAGATCATCAATCTTCTTTTGATGTTCATCATGAACTTTTGAAAGTAAGTTATGCAAATCAGTATTTTTCTTTTCAAAATCATTAATTTTGATTTGCAGTTCTTTGATCTTACTTTCAAGATCATTGTTGGTCTTGGATATAAGACTATTTTCGTTTTTTAATTTTGAAATATCATTTTTGTATTTTAAAAATAGAGTCTTATAATCCGAAGCCAACCCATTATAATCCTCTAATAACTCATCATAAGATAATTCATCCAAATCGAATGAGTTAGAGGTTACCTTAGAATCTTCCCCGATAGCCATCAAGCAAAAGTTTGCAACTTATTGTTCCTCTTCATCGGAACCTTCATGAGTGACTTGAAGTTTGTCCCATATTTCTTTGGCGGTTGTACAAGATGAAAATCTTCCGTATTTATCTGGTCCAAGAGAACAAAATATGATATGAATGGATTTGGAGTTGAGCTGGAACATTCTTGTCTCTCCTTCACTCTACAATCTTGGATGAGTGAGAGGCTTGATCCATCCTTCTTCTACGACATTCCATGCTCCCATGTCAGTTGCTTGAATGAAGTACAACATATTATTCTTCCAATAGGCATAGTTAGCTCCATTGTAGAAAGGAGGCTTGTTGACGGGCATCGAATCGAGACCGGAGTCGAAATTTGAAGCGGAGGCCATTGATGACTTGATAATCGATGTAACTCTTCCCGAATCGACTCAAGAGGCGATTAAACCTTCAAATGAGTTAGGTTCTAATATCAATTGTTGAGTTAATCGATCGATGGAATCGACCAAGAGGGGGGTGAATTGGTAATAAAAATTTTGGTGGAAGCTTTTGCAGAAAATTGAAAGTAATTGCACAGCGATTTACAGTGGTTTGACTTTACCAACCAAAAGTCTAAGTCCACTACCTTAGCTATCCACACTAAGGATTTTCCAACAAATTCACTAATTTTTTCTTTCTTTTGAGGCCAAAGAGATAACCTTACAATTCCCTCAAGAATATACCCCAATTCTTGAGAACACTCTTTTCTACAATTGAGCAAAATAAGTGTTCTTGAAAGCAAAGAATATTGAATGAAAAATAGGCTTGAAATGCTCAAACTTGAGGTTTGATGCTTTCTCTTTGATTCTCTCTTGATTCTAGTTGCTTGATGTTTCTTGTTGTTGATAAATGGCTTCTAAGCTTGTTTAAATACACCTTGAATCACTTCTGAACGTTGAGGATCATTAATGAAGTTATTGGAGCCGTTTAAGTGTGAAAACAATTAATATTTCTGCTTGGAGCGTGGGGGGAATCGGTTCCCCTCATAGGAAATCGGTTCCCTAAGTGTAAAATTCAAATATTTCGACCGTTAAACAGGGGGGAATCGGTACCCCCTTGGGGGGGGGAATCGGTACCCCCTTGGGGGGGGGGGGAATCGGTACCCCCTTGGGGGGGGGAATCGGTTCCCTCCGAGCATTCTGTTTTTCTCGGAGCCAAACCATTCAGGGGGAATCGGTTCCCTCTGAGCAATCTGGAATTTTTGGCTTTAAAATGGTTCGAAATATTTTGTAAAATTATTTTGAAATTATTTTAAGATTAAAACTTAATTTTACACTTGATTAAGGATTAAAAATGACATTTGAAAGATTTGGAGTAATATTTTGATATTCAAATAATTATATCGAATATACTTAGAAAATCTTTTTGGAAAATCTTAAAATTCATTTAACTTAATTTGTTATATCGAAATGTCAAAATGTTTTCAACACAATTAAAAGGAAGTAAATGATTAAAATGCAATAAAGTAATCAAAACCATGGTCAATTCGAAATAAGTAAAATAATAAAGAAATAGTGACTAAATTAAATATGAAACAAAACAATGAATCGTATTTAAAGCAAATAAAACCACGATGGACCTAGTGACCTGAATGAAAAAATGTGGGAAATTAGAGGGATTAAAAGGAGATTTATCCTAAAATATAAAGTAAATTAAAGAATAAAAACAAGAGGCAAAATTACGACATTAGGCCATAAAATTTGAAATAAAAAATGAGATTAAGGATCGACATGTAAAAACACTCTAAACTTCCAGGCGTACAAGAGCAAATTTATCTTTTCTAATCAAAATAATTACAAAGGAAAAAAGGGAAATATTCACATAAAAGGGTCTATAATTTGGAAGAAATTCAAAATTAAATATCACTTAGTGACTAAAATGGAAATTTACGGCTAAAGTCCAATGGTTAAAACAAGATTAACCCCAAAACTTTAATATATATGCTAACTTTTGTTAACCTAGCTAACCCTAACTGAATCATAAAACTACAACCGTTTCCCCCTTTCTTTAAAAACCCTTTTTCCTTCACCACTCGACTATTGTACACCCCAGACCCAAGACCACAACTCCTTGTCGACCGATGTTGCTCATTCCTTACACCGTCACCAACGACAACCAGGTAACTGAAATAAATCCCAAAACTCAACTTATTTATATTTCTATCCCAAATCCTTTATTTTCTTTTCAATCGAAACTGACGTCGAACCTATGACCTCCGCAAGCTCATCCTAAACCGACATCGACCTTCATCTGCCACTACAAGCGGTGGTCAGGGGAACCTAGCTCTAAGAAAACAAATCAAAACCCCTAAAGCAAATCCTAGATACTTCAAACAAAACCTCTAGATATCACTCGACCTTTCGACTTCTCTCCACGACGAACGCACCCCCGACGATGAGTGGCTCCGATGACCAAGGTAGAGAAACCATACCCTTCTCTTTTTGTAATTAGGTTGAAATGTATTTCGTTTATGGTTTATTGGATGTAAATGAATTGTGAGCATTTGGTTTATGGACATTTAGGTTATGGATCAATTAGGTCTGATTGGTTTTGGTTTATGGGTTTGGGGTTTCATGTAATGGGTAAATACTAAATGAATGGGCATGAATTTGGTTTAATTACTGTAGATGAATTGTTTATATGAATTATATTTGTGTTTATTGGTAATGTAAATGGGTCTAATTTATGTGGGCTAAATTACAACAACATCAACAACAAAACCCTATTCCCATATGCAATGGGGTAAGGGAGAGGTAGGGTAGTAGGCTGCCCCCAACGCCAGGATTGAGAGCAGCTTTTGTGGAAGACCTCTGACAGTCAAAAAATTAAAAATAAAGATAAAATGCAATGTATGTATAAATATATAAATAAATACATAGTTGAATAGTCTTCATATACAGTCTACATATACGCGTCTGTAATGGGAATTAATCTCTGCATGTAGACAGAAACGTAAGACACGACTAAATTTAAAAAGAGGAAACCTGAATAGAAGGATAAACAGAAGTCAACGATAGTAAGCTATAATAAGGAATAAAGTCAAATGGGTTAAAACATAAACTAAGGCAACAATACTCTGCTACCCTAGTTCTAAGCCTACATAAATTTTATTGACAGAAATGTATATAATGTAGAAGTCATGAACATTATTACAAAGGCATTAAACGGAAGAAAAAGATGTTACAGCCTATGTCTGTGACCCGCACTACTCGACTACCTTGGTCTTAAGTCTCCATACTTTCTTATCAGAGGTCATATCCTCTGCAAGGGCTAAATCCTTCAAATCAGATCTCAAGCAGTCTTCCCACTTCTGCCTTGGTCGTCCTCTCCTTCTGGAACCGTCGATTGTAATCGACTCTACCCTCTTGACTGCATCCGACGGTTGTCACCTAAGGACATGCCCAAACCACCGTAGTCTTCCCTCCCTCAATTTTTTGGATACAAGCACCACCCCCAAGGACATCCTAATAGTAGAGTTTGGTGTCATGTCCCACAGAGTCCTACCACATGCCCATCGAAGCATTCTCATTTCTACGGCCTCCATCCTCATTACATGATCCTTCTTGATTGTCCAACATTCTGATCCATACAGCAGCGCTGGTCTTATTGTCATTCTATAAAAATTTCCTTTAAGTTTTAGAGGCACCTTCTTGTCACACAAAACTCCAGTAGTAGCCCTCCACTTTTTTCATCCTGCCTTTATACGATGTGTAATGTCATCATCTACACCCCCATCTTTATGTATCATAGACCCTAGGTACTTAAAACATTCCTTTGAGGGGATAACGTGTCCTTCTATGCATACTTCTACATCCACATCATTTTGGTTCCCATTGAAGTTTGAACATAAATACTCTATCTTTTCAATATTGATCCTTAGACCTCTTTCTTCCAAAGTAGTCTTCCAGGCAGCCAGTCTACTATTCAGCTTAGTTTTTCTTTCAGGAACTAGGACAATATCGTCAGTGAAAAGGATACACCATGGAACACTGTCTAGTGTCACATAATAGATGTCGTCCATAATCAAGGTGAAGGTGTAAGGGCTAAGTGTTGATCCCTGGTGGAGTCCGATTTCCACTGGGAATGCCTCGGTGTCGCCAACTGTAGTCCTGACGTAAGTAGTAGATCTCAATACATATCACGAATCGCCCAGATATAAGCAGTTGGGATCCGTCTCATTTCCAAGGTCTTCCATATCATATCGCGGGGAACGCTATCATACGCCTTCTCAAGGTCAATGAACCGCCATGTGAAGATCTCTATTTTTTCCCTATATTTCTCCATAAGCCGTCGAAGTAGATGAATCACCTCCGTAGTAGACCTGTCTGGCATAAAGACAAATTAGTTTTCTGAAACCCTAGTAACCTATCTCAACCTAGCCTCTATCATCCTTTCCCATAGCTTTATGGTATGGCTGAGTAGTTTAATACCTCTGTAGTTTCCACAACGTTGGGGATCTCCTTTATTCTTATAGATTGGTATCACACCGTAGACTCTCTCTACTCCTCTGGCATCTTGGCAGTCTCTAAAATAATATTAAAGATGTTGGTCAAACACTTAACTCCCTCTTCTCCTAGGGCCAACCACACAGTGATAGGAATTTGATCTGGACCGTCAGATTTGTCCCTCTCCATTTTTCTAAGATCCATTTTGACTTCCTCAAACTCAATCCTACTTGCAAGGCAGTTATTGACCGTAGTATGATGGTCGGCTGACCCATCGACGATACTATCTCTACAGAGAGAGGCACCGTCATTAAATAAGCCAAAGAAGTAACTACCCCAAACCCTCTTAATATCATGATCTTTCACTAAAAGAACACCATTGTTGTCCTTAATAAACCTAATGCTACCTAGACCTTTTTCATATTTTCCATGGATTTTGCAAGCCTGAAGATGCCCTTTTGTCATTCCTTGGTGTCTAATCTCTTGTACATTTCCTCGTATGCCTTATCCTTTGCTTTAGCCACTGTTTTCTTAGCTTCGTGCTTTGACTCCTTGTATCTTTGTATAGCTCTCGATCTTTCTTCGTCGTCATTGCATTGTAGAAACTCCTTGAAGCAAGTTTGCTTTGTCTTCACCTTAGTTTGGACTTCGTCGTTCCACCACCACGATTTTTTATGTTCCTTGACCTTCCCTGTCGACAACCCAAGGGTGTTTTTTCCCACCTCTCTGATGGAATTTGCCATATTTTTCCATAACATATATATATTGTTTGAGTTTGTAGTTCCGAAACCTGTATTAGATAAAACCTTACTCCTAAAGTCATCAGCTGGCGCTCCATGTAAGTTCTTCCAAAGGATCCTATGTTTACCAAGTTTAGCCCTCCTATTAGTACTATTCCCGTGGTGTATGCAGAACACCAAAACCAACAATCTGTGTTGTGATACACATCCATCTTCAGGGAACACCTTACAGTCAATGCAAGCCCATCGATCCTAATTTCAAACCAGGATGTAGTCGATTTGGGTACAATGTCCCCCGCTATGGAACGTAATCAAGTTCACATCTCTCTTATTAAAGAAGGAGTTAGTGACCACCATATCTTGTGCAGTAGCAAATTCAAGCAATATACGCCCTCCTCGTTCCTACTACCAAAACCGAAACCCCCATGAACATCGTCATACCCATTGGTTGCACTACCTATATGGCCATTGAAGTCTTCCCCTATGAAAACTCTTTGGTCCTCTGGAATACTCCTAAGTACATCATCTAACTTATCCCAAAAGCAACGTTTCTCCCCCTCCCCTATGCCAACGTGTGGGGCGTACACTGAAAGGACATTCATCACTTCCGTTTCTATAATAATCTTAATCATCATGATCCTATTCCGGTATCTACAAACTTCAACTACATTTTCCTTAAGCCTAGAGGATACCAAGATACCCACCCTATTTCTAGCGTTATCTACGCCTGAATACCATAACTTGTACCCATTACACTCTTTGGCGCGAGCCCCTTTCCACCTAGTCTCCTGAATACATGCAAAATCTATTTTCCTATTACTAAGTACATCGGTCAGCTCCAGTAGCCTAGCATTTAATGTTCCTACATTCAACAAATAAACTCTAAGTCTAGTCTCCTTGACACCACTCTGTCGAGCCCTCCCCCTATACACCCTATGTGATCTAAAAGAAGGACATGACCTCAAGTAATCATCTATAGCTGAAGCTAAGAGGAACTATGAAAAAGGAATCCAAAGAAGACAGAAGGTGAACCAATAAAACGCTAGAGAATTGAGGGGTACTAATATGCCTTGTTGGTTACTTAATAGGATTTTAAGACAAATTTACACTATCTTACTTAACTTTAGGCCAACAGCTAGAAATCAAGTGGTAAAACCACAACACAATTTATAAATCTTTATAGCAGTTATACTCAATTTGAAATATCGATAATGATATAAGATACTAGGAGTCAAGAAGAATGAAAAAAATATAGATCCAGTAAATCCTACTCAAAGCAAAGTAGAAAAATATAGATCCAGTAGATCCTACTCAAAGCAAAACTACTTTTCAAGTAAATAAAAAATTCTATGGATGTTTAAGACGTCATCAACTTACATGAACTTTTTTCAGTAAAATTTCTATAAATAATCCAAGCAAACCTCAGAATCTCAAGATCCTATAATTTTCAAGAACAAAAAATTAACAGATCAGAATGCAATTTGGTCAAGATTCAATAAAAGAAAACTAATTACCCGCTACTACTACAAACAACAGAGCTAAATCTACGAATGAAAACCACGGAGCATAAGATCCAGTGAAAGCAACAACGCCACACGCAAATTATAGTTCATTAAGCAGAAATAAAGACACTTAATTTTCCCCAAACAATGTTGTTAAAGGATGCCAAAGTTACCATCAAAGAATATATTTGGTTTTGCGTTTCGTACAAAACCCAAAATGGATATCTGGTTGCTACACTAAGAAAACAAACAAACAAAAAACAATGAAGAAGAAATAAATCTAACTCTGGAAACTTGACGCATTTTCGGTTATAAAAAGTTAGAGAAACAAACAAACGATGCAACAGTGTGCGATCCAACAAAGCGCAACTGGATCCAATTACATGAAGGGCTTAAATCCTTCATTAACAACCCAAATTTCCCAGCATTCCTTTAAATCATCATGAACTTTCAAGAACCAATTTATGCTCATGCCACCAGTATCGCTCAAAGTGGTTCGATCCCTTTCAATTCGACTTGAATTCCCTGGGTAAAATTAGGTTATTACATACAAGTATTTTGAGATGAGTATCTGAATGTTAAAATCTTTTTGGGTTGAAACCTTAAACCCTATTTGAGTTATTTGATCCTTTTCACTTGGCCGTTTTTTTATAATCGGCCAGCTAGTAAGGTGATCCAATCGAGTCATTATTCATCAGCACCTAATAGAGCATCTAACAGCCACCGATGGGCTAACAATAGAGTCACCAGTAGCCACCACAATCGTGGGAACCCATCAACAACACTGACGACCTCTTCGTTGGCCCAAGAATAATGTCCGAGAAGTTACCTTTTTTTAGTCATCAACAACTACTCCTTTAACCGAAAGAAATGATAGCAACCACGAAAACATCGATCATCTATCTTTAACCTACAAAAATGATAGAAATCACGACAACACATCGACCATCTATTTGTTGAATAACGATCGAGTTGTAAGATAAAGAAACAAACCAACAACAACTCTAACCAATGATCAGATACACTATCATGTTCCGACTCGACTCAATTGGGTCGGGTTTTAAAAAAAATATTTCAGGTTTAAGTCTGGTCGGATCAATTTTTTTAGTGAACATGTTCAACTTTGGGTTTAGAGTGAAAAATATCTGACCCTAATCGAAAAGTAATATAAATTTACCCTATATATTTAGAGATAATTACAATAATAATAATCTATATTTTATTTTTATCAATTAGATTTCTATTATTATTGAATAAAAATAATATTTTTATAAATACATGTATTTTGGATCGAGTCATATTCGGATTTTATCTAAAAAAAAACATGTCGATTTCGGGTTGGGTGAAGCCACTCCTACTCTCAGGTTCAATCGGATTTTGGGTGGAGAGTATATATTTTCATATCGGATTGACCAAAATCCAACCTAACTCGACCCATGCCTACTATTGCATACTTGTATGATCAGTCACTTATTCATTTGTTCCTACTTTGAACACCCAATTATTATTTTCTAAAATCACATTAATTTTTCGTTTAATTTATATTTTGGTCATGTTTGAGTAAAAAATAATGGCATAGCATAGTATAATAACAATTTTAATCTTAAAATTTATGCATTTTATCAATTAAGTATTATTTCAAAAATAATCCATCAAATATTCGACCAAATCTCAATTTTCCATCATCATTCTTCTTATGCATTGACTCCTCTTTCTCCTCTACAACAGCCCTGAACCCAAAAAAAATATCGGAGGTGATATCAAATAAATCTTTCAAATAAACAAATTAATCATAACAAAAATCCTAACTTTAAAGAACACTAAATTTGAATAGAATCAACTTTTGAATGAATATTTAAGCTCACACCACTTTGAGATACGGAAGAGTTACAATTTCAGATGGAAGTAGTCTCAAAAGACTTTGAAACTCGAAGGATTTTCAGAGATAGCAACTAGTATAGCTTCCTCTCCTTTAAGAACAAGTGTGACTGCTTTTTAGAACAAGTGTGACTTTTTTTTCTAAACAAGTGTACGACCTAAAGTACAAATTTAACCATTATTTATGAATGCAGATTATATTCTTAACCAAAAAATTGTAGCACTATATTGTAGTTTTGTTTTGAGACAATCTAATTTAAATAATTTAAGATTAATTTAAGGTAATTTTCAACTTAAAAACTCATAAAAATTTGTAGCATTTTTTATTGTAACCGAAAAGGTTATATCGTGGTGGATTTAGGTTTACATATAAAAATTTATACAATTTGTAATAATTTCAATTACAATAAAAAAATATTACGAAGAATGTAATATTTTCGATTTTAACTTAAAATATTACCCTATCAAACTTTAAAAAAGTTATGTTTTTGATAATAAAAAATATTACAACTGATTTATACGGTTTTTTTAAAATTTATATTAACAAATCGTACTTTAGATTCCCAAGATAGATTGACCAAGAGTTTAAAGTAAATATTAGAAAGGAAAAGAAAAGGTACCTGAGAAAGTCATTTTCAAGTAACTTTTTTGCAACATAATCGTTTGGTTCAAGATTCTCTCTTAATATTTGGATGTGATCTGTTTTCTTGATGGAATTTGACACCGATTTTATGATTTCCATAGATTATTTTTTTTAGTACTGATCAGACTATTTGCACATTCCATTCAATTCATGGATTAAATATTCATTCAAATATCAATTCATTTTTATGTACTTAATTTTAGTTATGTTATTTAAAGTTGAGATTTTTTGGTTTGATTTATTTGTTTATTTGAATGAATTGTTGATGGATATTTATTTATCTCATATTCAAAAAAAAATGAGTTTAGGGTCGTTAAATAGTAGAAAGAGAAGACTTATTGTTGAGATGGTAAATATTAGGTTGAGTCAAATTTTTTATAGTTCTAACTTCGATTTGATTATTATACTCCTTCATCTGGTATCTGATTTGGTTTTGGGAAGATTCTATTTGATCAAATTTTTTAAAGCAGAAATTTAACCCGATCCGACATTCAAAAATGGCCTAAATCATGTAAAATCTTAAAAATTAGGGTAATTAAGAGAACCAACAAATTCAAGCAAAAAAAAATCGTTATACTTGAACCCATGATTTTGCAACGAAAGACGGCATATTTGATCCTGCAACTATCACTTTCTATTGACTGTCTATTTGAATTCAAAAATCAAAACTTTAATCTCTAATACTTTCCGATTTTTTTAATGAAAATAATAATTAACAAATTGAAGAATGAAACTATAAAAGGCAGGGGTGTATCTAGGCCTAGGCCTACCTAGGCCATGGCCCACCCATACCAAACAGAGAAAATTACTTATTTAGTCACTTACTTATTGTTTAGTATTTATTTCAATCACCAAACTATTATTTATATTAAATCACACCTAAATGTTAGGTTTTGGTTAATTGTATTGAAAATATTAGCGGTGATGCTGACGTATCATCATAAAATAAAGTCATATCAGGATTAAAAAATAATTAAAAAATATCAGGTGACATCATTGTTTATTTTTTTAACGACATGTGATCAAAATATAACCAAAACATAAGGTTAGATATGTTTTTGAAAAAAATAATAGTTGAGTGACTAAAATATATATTAAATAATAAGTGTGTGACCAAGTAGGTAGTTTATCCTAAATAAAAAATATGTATGAATTATGTTAAGAAAATTATATTGGTCCAATTAATATATTTTTTCTAGATTTAATCCAAATATATATTTTTTGAAAGGTAAATGTGACCTCGTTAAAATTCCCCTTATAACTGGATCGAGCCAGAGCTCAATCAAGACTTGTAATGTTTATTTTTTTATCGAAACATTTAATTTGAATGAAAAATATATATATGAATTATATTTATATATTTTTTGATTCGTCACTCTAAAAAGAAGAGGGGAAAAAACGAATAAGAAGAATAAACAAACAGAGCAAAAGGAAAGTAAAAGAACGGAGAGAAAGATTTAAAGAGGATTGGAGAATGACAACAATGAAAAAATCAAAATAGGAAGAAATCCTAATATATATATATATATATATATATATATATATAATATGATATTTTTATAAATATATTAAATAATATATATATTTTTTTCAGGGTCAAGTCGGCTCGAATATTTTTAATGTATAATTTGAATTTAACCCGAACCTGATAAACCCATTCTTAAAATTCGATTTACCTGATTTTTAATGTCATCATTTTCGTTATTTTCTATAAAACATATAACAAAACTAAAAATTAAATAAAATATTATATATAATTTTAAAAACATTAGATGACTAAAATAAAAAAGAGAATATATGATTAAATAAACAAATTATTCAATAATCTTATATTATTACAAAGTTAATAAAATAAAATAATATTACTAATAATATAACAACTAATATTATATTCTAAAAATCTTATTTCTATTCTCGATATAAACGGTACCCTAAAAGTTTACTGTTATTGCTGTATGTAGAAATTAAAACAAATAAAGAAAATTAGGTGCTCAATAGTTCAT